ACTCTCAGATTCCAGATTTTCAAATAGTTGTATCTCAGCCAAATATTGTCCTATCATAACAAACCATACATCAATGGAAAGCTTATTTATTCAGCTTTATTTATAAATAATTTCCAAAAATGGACCCTTGTGACTGGTTTTGTGGTCCAGGGACACATATAATATGAAGTATAATTGCATTATTATAATTATAAATACTTATATTATTTTTATTGTATTTACAATAATTATAATTAAGTATTAATTAATAATATTGTATTATTTGTATTATTGTATATTTTTTTTACGTTGTTAAAATAGGTTTCTTGTAAAAATATATGTATATTTATATATAAATATATGTATTATAAAATGTATTTATTGTAAAAGTTATTTTATTTCTATATTTTATTTTATAGATTTTGAGAATCACTTATTGAAATTGTGCTTGTGTTTTATTCAGAGACTGGGGGAGAAGGCGGTGTCTGTGACAGGACAGGAAAAGACCTGATGTAGAAAACAAAGTTCTGTCTTATGGATCCCTCTCATCTGCCCACCCCAAGAGGCTTGCAGTCTGAGCAGCAAGACCAGAACATTCACCCACCGCACGAAACCCTCACCAGCACCAGCCTTCATATGTACACACACTTGGCAGTTTGATGCCCATCTGGCGAACAACATGCTGCACTGAGTTTGAGTAAATCACTTGCTGTAAACGTACTGGATCCCATGGGGGCCAAAAGACAGGCTCACACACATATGTGCACACACACACACACACACACGATCTCTGTCACCCTGCCAGTGTGCTGAAAATGACACGCTGGTGCGAGTCGCTGTGAGCAGAAAGCGTAGACCGATGGAGATGCCTCTGGAACAGTATCTGCTCACCGCTGTTACCCCTTTAACAAGAAACACGTAACGATAATCTCAATTAAAAACCTGTCGTTTTTGTCCGTCTTGTGTATTTAAAGGCGTCAAATATTTCAAAGCTGAAGCGATCAGACATTTGTGCACCATGAAGGCCTTCTCCGCATCCTGATCTTGAGCCTCCCCTGTGAGGAGGCGGCCCAAAGGTCCACAGACTGTCTCACTGACCCTGCTGCACTCTTTGAAGAGCAACTACCTCTCAAGCCAGGACACACAGACCAGGCCCTGGACCCAAGTGCCTGGCCCCGATCTCCATGCTCTCAGCGAGGGGCCGCGCGCTGGAGACGCTGCCAGTCTCTCTCTCTCTCCTTTCCCTTTTTATTTTTTCCTCCAGTTGATCCATTTTTTTGTGAAATGATTTGATATCAATCGGCGTCGCTCAGGCAATACCAGTTCAGAGAGTCCCAGAGATCTCTGCCTGTACAGTGACTACACTGAAAAAAAACTGATTTCGAATGTTTGCATTGATCATTTTCGAAGCCAACTTTCTATTATTCCTTTTTTATTTATTTGCATTCGTTGCATGTTGTGCGCAAGGTAATATATTCTAACGCTCAACTGGCAAAATGTTTTTTATACTACTGTACAAAATTCTCAGCTCTTTTGAGTCTTGTAAACTTTTGGATGAACATGTCTGGTGTTTGAAGTTGTAAAAAAAGAAAAAAAAAAGCCTACTTGATGATTTTGTGGTCTTGTAAATACACCTGTTTTTCCCCTTTTCCTTTTGTAAATCTACAGATGCATATTGGATTAAGAATAAGCTGTCAGAATAAATAAGATTTAGTTTAGCACACTTTTACCTCTTTTCTGTTGTAAATACATATTTGTGATTCACTTAGTGGTGTGAAGGACTGTTTCAAAGCACTGTCGGTGTGTTCAGATCTTTTCCTACAGGCTTTCCACAAGACTGGTGACTGGATAAAGTGTATTAATTTATTTTTGTATGTGCAGGGACTTTTTTTTGCACCGTTTTATTGATGTGGTTTTATACGTTATAGATGTGGTATGTCCACGTTCTCATGTATCTGTACAGAAATTATGCAAAATCTCTAAAGTTTGTATTTAAAACATCAAAAGTGAAACCACACGAGTCCTGCTTCATATTAAGAAATTCTGAACACTGAAATTGTAGTGTTGCGCTTTTTTCAGTGATAAATTAAAATCTGTTTATTACAATTCTTGCATCTTGCAGTGCCTTTTTATTTAACAGTCTGTTTTGGCATAGCAAAACATGTATTTTTCTTTCTTTCTTTTTTTTACTGAGTTTCAGTATGCTTTTAAATCCTTGCAAAGAAGTGCTACCAAATTATGCTAGAATAGACTTGCAAACCACTTTTCATTAAAAGTATGACTCATTCGTAATACAGACTCATGACAAGTATTCCAATTACAGAGCTCTCCAGTTAAAATGAGAAGACATTACATTGAAGTGTTTCTAGATTCTAATTAAAATAAATATCTTTACATAATTTAAAGCCATAATTCACCCAAAAAAGAAAATTCTATCATTATTTACTCCTCTTCATATCGTTCCAAACCTGTCTGCATTTCTTTCTTTTGCTGAACACAAAAAGATTATATTTTGAAGAACGTTGATGATAACCAACTAGTTTCAGATGCCATTGACTTCCATTGTATTTTTTGTCTATACAATGGAAGTCAATGGGGGAAAAATGATTAGTTACCAACGTTCTTCAAGATATATTCATTTGTGCTCAACATAAGAAAGAAAGACATACAGGTTTGAAACAACATGAGGTTGTGTAAATTACAGAATTTAAATTTTTTTGGTGAACTATCCCTTTTAACACTTAGCCCTTATCTACAATGGACCCTTTTCATATTTCCAGGGTTTCTCAGATGCGGAAGTCATCACAGTTGGGTCATTTTGTTTAGCTGTGAACGGAAACTACAAATTTGTATTTTTTTATTTAATTAGTTAGTGTTCCCATTTGCCCCAATAATAAAAGAAAAATACACAATAGTCTTTCTGTGACTTTCCAAAGGAGGGAAAAATACAAAGAGATTGATTACATTAGTAAAAAGAGAGAAAGATGTCAACTTTGTCATCACTCCCTCAGTCGTAGTATGAGAGATACTCACACAGCAGTGCTAACTAGTTTTCTGTTATGAATGCAAAACACAAAGTATAGTTATAAATGTACATTATTAAAAAAAAAAAAAAACATTGGTAGATTTACAATATTAAAAATGCATCACCACAGTCAGTGAAAAAGGTCCACAGAATGAAAATCACACAGCTCTGATGCCGAACTAAAACCATATGAAAGTAACGCAGAAATTGAATGAAATAGATGTCAGTCATATCCATTTATCTTAAACTCTTTGCCTTTATCAAAATTACACTACTTGTGCTGGAAATATCAGGTTCAATGCATCAGCCACATGCATATTTCTTCCATTATGAGCCAGGAAACAGACACTAAACTCCGTCATCCCTTTCCCCCCCATATTTCTGCAGTCTGTCCTTGTGTTTGCTATTTGGTGAGTGGAACCCATTTCTCAGCATGGCCCCCAGGGACCTGCCCACTGTCCCTGCCCAGCTCTGAGCGCTCCTGCTGTGGGAACAGCAGGCCCCTCTCTCCCCTCAGCTTCATCAAGCTGTCCACACTACTGACCACCCACTGACCCCTGACCCCTCCACCCCAGCCTGATACGCTCAAAGCGGCACGCACACAATGGGGCCAGTGACAGCATTCACGCATCTGAAAAATCTTCGCTTTATTTTAATCAGATGAAAGCATTCTTGGAAATTTGTAAAACGTCACATTTTGTGGGGCGCCGTCTCGCTTTTCCCATGATTAAATAAGGAACTCTTTTACGACCTAAACGTGAGTTCTTCAATAAGCCTCTAATAATATTTTTATTCCATTCGCACGGCAGTGATAAATCAAATATTTAGTTATTTAGTCCTTTCCCACCCAGTTAGTGATGGCTTAGTGTTAATGCCCGCTCAGAGAGCAGATGGGGTAATAGAGAGCCGCAGAAGCCCGTGTGTCGCTCACTCTTTCTCTACCAGGTGCACTGGAACACAGTGTAAAAAAACACTGAAGATCCTTAGGGACGATTCATTTTCACCCCTGCTGCCTGTAAGGAATGGATTCAGCTTACAGGTAGGTAACAAAAGCTGCTAACTGACAGAGCTGGAAGGGAGGTGACTGATTTATGGTTCTTTTCGTTCTCGTTCTCGTCACAACTGTAACCCTGAATCGCCGTGTCAAACTGAAATTTAGAAATATTATTAGACCACAATGAAAAGGTGTGTTTTGAGCTCCGGCCTGCTAATTAATTATGTCATTAAAGACGCCGTGTCTTTAAAAATGTGGGGGAGGCAAAGACAGGTTTTATGATGTTCACGTTTAATTTACTGATAATTACTCATAGGATGAGACAAATATTTGAGGTGAATTACTGGAGCAGACGTTTGTAAACAGAAATCTTACCCTGCTTTACTTCAGTTCACTGCTGTTTCTTCGTTATTTGAATGTTTCCAATTCACCCCCTTCCTGTACTCATCTGTACCTAAATGTTAGTTATTTAATAATATTATTTGTTGTCGTAACTAATTATTTTATATAATGTATGACATGTATTTTTTGATTGTTACTCAAAAATATGTGTAACTGCACAATTATTATTACCATTGTCATTCTTATACGAGTCATTTTATTTCAATATATATACGCATAGGATTAAGTGACTCTACAACATTTATGAATTTGTATCCTGCTCATGCATTACCTGTCCAGTTAAATGATCATTTGTCTTATTCGTTTGTCCCTCAAATGTTCTGTTGTTCTGTCATAGGTTATTTTATATATTATATTTATTATATATTTTTTTATATATTTAATTTTATTGGAATCATCTCTTTTTTTCCTTATTGTTGTCGTCGTTCTGTTTGTTCTGTGAAAAAGCAAAAAACACAAATAAATATTATATGTATATTTGTGTGTGTGTGTGTAATTATCTGTGATAAATGGTAATTGCGTTATACTGTGGTAAATAAATAAAAGTTTAGTGTTTAAAATAAAAAAATGCATACATTATTTAGTGGGATTATTAGCAGGAGATATGGTTGGTTGCTGATTTATTTGCATGTTTTCTAATGTTCTAGTTTGTGGTTTATTTAATTTACATGGTATATCTCAAACAACAAACGGCAAAAGGACTCATTAGGAAAAGAATCAAAACAGACAAATATGACAGGAAAAACAAACAAACCGTAAAACCATAAATAAATCGTATATATCAAAAGTACAATTGCATATCAATACAATTGCAATTGATTAAATTATACAATAATAACAGCAACAATTGTTTTGTTTTTTGGTTCTTCTTCAAAATCCAGTTGTCATTTCATCCATATTTATGCTGACAAACTGAATAGGATTAAAAGCCCAATCACATCCTTCCAAATGATTCTGAATTACCGAAGCCACATGATTGTTCTATTATTACTATTAAATCAAATCTAGCAAATATTCTGCTCACTGCTCTTATAATCAGCATCTAATACGTCCCACTGTCCACCTTTTCTTTCTCTTTCTTTCTTTCTTTCTTTCTTTCTTTCTTCTCCCCACCCATCTTTATTTCTCCTCCCTGTTTGGTTCATGCTGATGATTTCCAGCTGCTCAGGCACCATCCTGTTACATCTGCTTCTGCTTTAGTAATTAATAGCTCACTTTCCTCTCCCAGTCAGATTGGGAGACTGATCCCCCTCCACCCCTCCACCCCTCCACCCTCTCACATACACTCTTCTCTCTCCTGCCTTATCAGACCTGTCAATCACGTCCGGGCTGTTTAAACATGCCGCTGCCACCCCCCTCCTCTTGCTTGCTTTCTCACTTGCTCTCTATTTTTCTCCACCGCTTGCTTTCTCTCTAACTTACTTTCTCTCTCTCTCTCTCTCTCTGTCTTTCTCTTTGCTTGTTCTATGCTCTATCTTTCTCCACTTCTTAGCTGCACCCCTCCTCCTCCTCTGGGTTTATTCATTCACATCTTGGGAGTTTGGACACACACCCTCTTCAGTCCCATCCCCCTTGTTTCCAGCTGAACTACTGTCCAACATCAACGGTTTCAATCAGTCTGCCAGAGGCCTATCGGGACACCAGCTCTGGCTCTCCTGGGTAGCCCATAAAGGGCCTCTTCTGTCCATTTGGGTGCCTGAACAAAAATATTTGTTTGTTTGTTTAGAAATAATTGTTTAGATTTGTATTTTTATACTTAAATAAATAGGCTAAATATTGCGTGCTGTGTGTTCAGTGTTTAAAATATGCATGAATTTTTTGGTGGGATTATTAGCAGAAGATTTGTTTGCTTGATTAATTATTTACATGTATATTCATTTTCTAATTTGGTTTAGTGTTTGCTTGATTTACAGGGAGGATCCCAAACAATAAACAACAAAAGCACTCAGTCGTATTGGGAAAAAATGAAAACAAAACAAAAATGACCGAAAACAAAACAAAAGAGTATTGATACAATTGTGATTATATCAGAAAACGTAAAGAAAAAATCTTGATCAAACCGTAAATTATTTTCAAATAATTTTTTCTACTAAAAATTTTGTTACATGTCTTGTTTTAGTGTTTGAAAAACTATAAATAATAATATAGACAAAAAGTATAAATATAA